TTTTTCCTTGTCTTTTCATCTCCAGAGTAATATATCATATGGTCATCAGACAATAATAGAGATGCAAATTAAAACCACAATGAGAGACCATTGCACCCCAGTAGAAATGGCAAAATAGCAGTGTAGCAAGCAATACATGTTGTAGAGTAAAATGGACCGTCTAACAAAAATAAAATTGATGCATGAGACCTTCTAAAGATTTTATCCCCATACACATCAAAACCTTTTTCCAACAGGGTAAAAAGAAAACCTACAGACTGGGAACAAATATTTGCTAATACCACCTCAGAAAACAGTCTTATAACAAAAAATTATAGAATACTCCTGGCCCTCCACAAGAAAAAGACTGATAACCCAATTACAAAATGGGCAAAAGACTTTTTTTTTTTTTTATTTTTTGCAGAAGACTTTTCACAGAGGAAGAAATTTGAATGGCAATCAAACATATGAATGTACCAAATCACTGGTAATAAGAGAGATGCAAATCAAAACCACAATGAGCTATCATCTCATTGCAGTAACAGTGGCAAAGTTTAACAGGGCAGCAAGTAATAGATGTTGGAGAGGATGTGTTGAGAAAGAAATTCTTAGCAAGATCATGGAAATAGCTTAAATGTCCAACCGCAACAGAATGGCTTCAGAAATTATGGTAGATTCACATGATGAAATACTATGTAGACGGCAGAAGCAATGATGTTAACAAACCACTACCTAACTTGGGAGAACCTGGAGAGTATTCTGCTAAGTTAACTCAGTCCCATAAGGACAGATACTACATAAGAACATTATTGTAGAAATAGAAAGATAACTAGTATAATGTGTATGAGGATCCAAAGGAGGAGGGTAGTAATTATGTTGCTGCTGTTGTTGTTATGTGCCATTGAGTTGCCTGCAACCCATAGCAACCTTATGTACAACAGCCTTAAAGCCTGATCTATCCTGTGCCACTCTTATTGTTTCTGGCACACCCACCCCCATTACCCCAGTCACTGATTCAGTCTATCTCATTGAGGGTCTTCCTCTCCTACACTGTCCCTCTACCCATCCAAGCTTGATAACCCTCTTCAAGGACTGGTTCCTCCTTGCAACATGTCCAAACTATGTCAGATGAAGCTTCAGAATCCTTGCCTCCAAGGAGCAGCCTGCTCGCACCTTCTCTAGGATGAACCTGTTGGTTCTCCAAGCAATCTACAGAGTATTCAATACAACACCACACCTCATAGGGTCACAAAATTTGATGAGTAGTAGGAGGGATGGGTAAAGGAAGTGAGAAAGCTCCAGTGTGAAAAAAAAAAGTATAAGAATTTTTTAAGTACACTAATATAAAATAAAAAATTTTATTATTAAAATTAAGAGCCAGAGGAGGATAACATTCTTAGTTGGATCATTAAGAGGTCCAGGCTCTGATCATTGCAACTTTACTAGATGTTGGCACAGTCTCAACAACCTTCATCTTCTCGTTCTTTATTTGTGTTTTCTGCTTGGGACTCAGCAGCTTCGAATAAAATGTGGTGACAGTGTTGTTCTCATCTAACTTAACCAGAAAATTTCTGCAGACCACCTGGTGTGAGGACACACGACCAAACGAGCCTATAACAGACGTATGTGTGATATAAATCACTGGGTCTGGCCCTCTTCATTGCACTGTGGTTATTTTGGTCTAGATATTATCAGCTTTAGCCTGGGTAGCCTTCCTCAGAAGATGCATCCACTCCTGCTCCTGTTGGCCTTTCACATTCTTCCTGGATCTACAGCAGGTGAGTGACCATCTGCATCCTAGGAACCTGAGCCTATTTCCCTGAATCACTTGTACTCCTGGCCCGTCTGCCCAGTGCTTGGAAGGAATTCCTTCCATGTAATCCAGAAAAATTATTGATATCAGCTTCCATGGCAAACCCAGACTAAGCAGTCTCATGTTGGATAGATGTTCTGGAAGGATGACTAGACAGCCTGGACAGGGGTGTAGGTGTTAGACTATCCTGGCTTTTTGTCAATTTTCCCCAGTTTAGGTAAAATCACAAAAGGACTGCCACCACTTAAAGGCTTACTAGGTGGTAGCTTCCCCTAGCTTTTCCTGATTACAAGCAGATGATTCTTACAAAGATATTTGGCCGAAGATATGAAGGTAAGTAACTGAAATCCATTTTTGCATGCCAAGAAGCTAAACAATTCATTGCCAATAAGTCAGAATCAACTCATAATTTACCCTCCACCAGGTTTTCTGAGGCTATAAATTACACAGGAGGAGTTTCCCATCTTTCTCCTTTGGAGCAGCTGGTGGGTTCAAACTGAGGGTATCTGTGTTGACAGCCCAACTTCTTACCCACTCCCCTATCCCAGGAAAATGAAGCT